TTATCTTGACTTCTGTAATCTTATCAGCTAAGGAATGAATAGGAACAATTTAGAAACAATTTAAAGTGTCTAGAGGGCAATGTTTCATTTTGCCTCAAAAGCATTTAGGAGTTATAAATATTGTGACCTGAGAAAACCAGAGTTCCGAATAATGCCACAAATTTCTGCACAATACACACACACACACACACACACACACACACACACACATTCTGGACTGGCAGCAACAACAACAACAACAAAAAAAAACACTATGATTAAGGATACCTGTGTTTTGGGGCAATCAATTTTTCTAGTACCATTGTCTTTTTTCTAGGTCAGCAACTTGATACAATATTTCAAAACTTAAATAATTCAGAATTCAGAATTTAAATGACATTTCAAAAACCAAAACCAAAAGCCCTTACTGAAGAAGAAAAACACTAAAATATACAGCCTGTACTGATAGGGCATTTCCTTCCAAAAGTTGCAGAGTTTAATACCTTAAGTAATGCATTACATAATTCAAGTAAACACACAGTATGCTACATTAACAAAATTTAGAAAAAACACATAATACCCAAGACCAGTTGTTTCTAGCTAAGTATTTACTTAACACAAAAAAGAATTAGGAAAAATTAATGTTCAGCTTTATAAAGAACTCCAATTTAAAATTGCAGGAACAGTTGTTCTTAGAGACATTTGTATTGCCTCAAACACAGAAAACTAAGCCCCCACCCACCACATATATACATCTGCATACTTAACTAATCTGCATACACAACTAATTAACTGCAGACCAGTTGCACCAATGTTTTAGTTTTGATCATTCAGGATAGTTCTTCAATTACTACCAAACCTTCATTGATTTCCCTATACCATTAAAAAACAATTCATAAAACGATCAAAGAAGAAGAAATACTGACCTGATATTTGATTATATAAATTATTTTTTAAGTGTAAAAATGGAATTGTGCTTGTGTTATATTCAAAGAAATAAGATATATAGATATATATGTATGCACTATTTCATATTTAAAAATTGATGCTAATATTCTGGCAATATCATAATATTGTAACAAGTACTGGCTTGTGTGTGTGTATACATGTAATTTTCTAGCCTTTCAATGTTACATACTGAGATTTTATACATTAAATTTTATAATTCTTGACATTTGACTCAAAATAATCTGTGACATAAAATGAATTGAAGATGAAATAAACTCAATAACTTTTCAAGTTAAAAGTTGGATACACAGACATTCATTAAATAATTTTCAGTACTTTAATCTATTGAAAATTTTCCACAATACAAAGTTTAAAGACTAGTAAATAAAATATTGCACTAAAAAACAAGTCGTCTGCTATTTGATGCTTGGCCCACATTTTCCAAGCAGATTTATAGTTTTCTAAAGCTGCTACCATAGCTATATTATAGATACCACCCTTAAGTGATTTCCCATTAAACTAGAGATAGTAGGTTCCATAGGCCAAGTACTGCATCTTATTAATTTTGGTTTCTCCAGAGTCTAGCACAGCATCCATCAAAATGTCAGTCTTTAATAAATGTTTACTGAGTCTAAATGAATGTAAATGAAGAGGCAAAGCACAGCCAATCTCATTTCTTTTTGTGTTTTTGCAGAAAGCAGAGTTTTTTCCCCCAAATATCATTTACTTGTTAATAACAACTCTAATCATAAGGGATTGAACCCAGGGCCTTGCAAAATCTCTACTATCGAGCTATATCTCCATCTCTGAAAACCTATTTCTAATACTCTTTGTAACACTGTTTTATAAGAAAGGTCTCAGGCTAAATAAGTTATTTGGAGACTAACTGCTGATTTAACAATGTATTTAATAGCTACATGAGCTGACAGACTTATTTGTCAGATCTAGTTTGGTAAATACTTAGATTTCCAATTAACATCAAAGATACTGTACAATTCTTAAATAAATAAAATTTAAATAATTTCAATATAATTTCAGAAAAATATGTAAGGTTGTATATCAGGCAGTGGTTAATCTCTTAAGATGTGCAACCCAATATTTTGTCAACTAGAGACATGTAACTAACTACTTACATTTAAATTGTGTAAGACTTTAAAACTTGGCTACACTAGCCACAGTCCAAAACTTCAGTAGCTACATAGTAGTGTTTACCATATTGGCAGTACAGATACATTACATTTGTATCACTGCAGACAGTTCCATTGGATGTTGCCACATACATGGTTTATATCTAGATGTTTCTCCAAGTCCTCACCTTCTCAAACCCTTGTGGAGTTTTTAGGAGGTGCATAGATCATGGAGGGGTGTTTCCTATCAGGGGATTATTCTACTGATTAGCTTATGGCATATGACTTTGAGAGGTGAAGCCTAGTAGTGCAGTGTGACTGGGAATATGACCTGGAAGCGCCTATCTCCCTTCCTCTTCCCTTGACCTGAGGCTTCCTGAGTACAATGCCATGACCTATTCTTCCTCTGCCAGGTCCCTCTGCCTTGAAACAAGCTGACTCTTGGTTGATTGAGATAGTTCAGGCTAGCCTTGAACTGTGGCTATCCTCCTCCCTCAGCTTGAAGAGTCTTAGTTTCAATTACATATTTATATTGCCCAAATATTGTGTTGCAATCTTTTATTCAAGTAAAATATAAATAACAGGAAACTTGCCATTTACATTCTGGTACAATCTGATTACAAAATATCTATTTGAAATATTTTCAAAACCTTTTGAAAACACCAATCAGTAACTCTGTAACCATTAAATTGGAATTCCCTAGTTTTCGTTTATTATGGGACCTGGGCATCTTTAGTCTGTCCCTATCAGTCTATTTATATTAAGGGCAATAAAAATACTTGTTGTTTTATATCTGGCTTACATATAAAATGTTTCCAAGGTTCACTCATTGTAGCAACAAGCTTATTTTTTATATGTTAAGATTCTATGTTTGTATCTACATTTTTTGTTTACACTCATTTGTTGACATATGGGTTGTAATTACTACTACTTACTACTACTAATTACTACTTCTGGTTATTGTGAATAATGCTGTAATAAAAACTGGCATGCAAGTATGTGTTTTAGCACCTGTTTTAAATCTTCTGGGTATATACACAGGAGTAAGACTGTTGATCATATAATGATTCTATGTTTGATTTTGGAGGAAACACCATTCTATTTACCACTGTGGCTGTACCATATCACATTTCCATGCTCAAAGTATGAATGAGAGTTCCAATTTATTTATTTTTTTTTGTCTTTTTCGTTTTTTATCAGTACCAGGGATCGAACTCACGACTGCCTGCTTGCAAGGCAGGCGCTTATGCCGCTGAGCTATATCTCCAGCCCCGAGGGTTCCAATTTCTTCACTCCTTCATGAATACAGGTCTTGTGGGTCTTGTCAAATAGTCATCCTAGTGGGAATGAAGTGGTATCCCACTGCTGCTTTGATTAGGTGTCTTTAACGATTGACAATAATTAGTATCTTCTTAAGTGGTTACCGGCAATCTGTATATCTTCTTTGGAGGAATACTATGCAAATTATTTGCCTACAATTAACTCAACTTGCTTTAATATTTTACAACAAAAATAACATACAGAATTGTTGGGAGGCATTGAAACTGGAAACTGAACACATGTGCAGTGCTGCTGCATGGTTGAGGCAAAATAAGATAATGGCTCAAGACACCTGGCTCCAACTCCAATTAACTAAATAAAGACTGTAGCCACGCATTTCACCCCTGTAGTGAAATCCAACATGGAGATCTTCTCCTAAAATACTTCTCTTTGTTAACATAATTTGTTAATTGCAAAATACTTAAACCATTCCCAAAGTCTATTCACTTTCCTGTGTTGTTTGAAAAAAAAAAAAAAAAAATGGCTGCCCAGAGGCATTTTCTATCTTAGCCCTCAGAGTCTCCAACTCTGCAGAAGGATTTTGACCTTCCTGGAGCCCTATAATCATACCACTTATGTCATTTATTTTGAGCTTTTGCGGTACACTTGTTTGGCAGATTGGGGATCTAGGCCAGCTCCCTAATATAGAATGATATTACATATTAAAATCAAAAATTTTAACAATCTTAGAACACACATGACACAAACTTTCATAAATGTTACATTAAAAGAACATATTAACCACTTTCTATTTTTTTCCCACTGAAATAACAAAATGAATTGGGTAGATACACTACTAAATATAGAGGTATCTAAGAGATTACACCAAAATATTTCATTTTACTCATGATAAAATTTAAGTAATGTAAAGCTATCACTGCAAAGGGCTTTACATTATTCTTTCTTTATTTTCCCGATTATTTTCTCTATCAGCAATACAGATACAAGGGTCTTTAACAACCAACACTTCACTCATTTACATTCAGTACACAGGTGCTGAGAAAGAAGATGATATTTATCTAAATAAAAGCTTAATAAAATAACTACAAAGAAATTTCACTGACAAGGTTATAACTAGTCCTGTACAAGCACACCAAAGATAAACATTCATATTGCACCGTAGTGCACTTGGGCTTTTTCAAATGTGAATCAACTTGAAATTGAAAATATCAAAACTATAAATACAAAAAAAAAATTCCTTTTATTTAGCACAATCCAAAACTACAAACCCAGGATTTTATTTCAAAATACATGATTTTATTTTTCAAACTGTTTAAACTGTTTAAAATAAATCAACCAAATTGCAGTAAACATTTAGCCAGATAAGGAGATTCCATTAAGCAAGTCTTTAATAATTACGAAAGTATTGAAGATAAGGAAAGCATTTACATTAATGATTCACTCACCACAGACATCTAACAATTGACTCTCAAGTATTTGTAAGGAGAAGGATGAGAGACAAATCTAACTGAAGTGATACTCAGACCTTTTAAACGGCACATCTTAGCAACTCTTTGAAATTGTTTGGAGGAATTGAGTCAAGTTCTATATGGAACCTCATTAAGATATTATACTTTAGAATCAAATCTCCATTCTCCAAATCGTCATTCTCCAAAAGCCACTCACCTTCCTGTAGCAGGACCATATTGTGAAATCCAGTTGTGCCACATGAGAGAGTCTCATTCATATTAGTTGGCGAACATTATTCCAAAAAAATCCCTTATTAGATTTCATGCATCTATTTAAGAAACAAATGCAAGATCTCTTCAAAATCTGCTGTCCTCATTATACAGTTAAAACTCTACTGCAATCCTTTCCTTACCTCTTTAATTGAGCCCTTCAAAGTAAGTCTTGATGAGCATTAAAATAATACTGTTTCTCAAATGCAAAAAAAGTGACTACTTACAAAACCTAACTCTTTAATTCTTAAATTCTTAAATAACCCAGAGAATTTTTTGTTTTAGAAATAATAGATACTGGATTTATTATAAAGCATTAAAACATAATCAAGGGGAAAATAAATGAAACAATTTTCAAACAATAAACAAAAGTAAATGACTTTTTTGAAAAACAAAAGTGATAATCCTAACTTACTCTCTGGATAGTTTGTAGGAAGCAGAAAATGATGATTAAATCCAAGCAGACACATAGCCTCACTGAGAAAAGTTTATAGAGTTTAATAGCTAGAAAGCTAGGAAGCTTGAAAGATTTCCTTATATCTAGCACACTGAATAGAATCCTCAAAAAGATATTTCTGCTGGGCATGGTGGCATACACCTGTAATCCTAGCACTTGGGAGGCTGAAACAGGAGTACCATCATGAGATTGAGGCCAGCCTGGACTACATAATCACCTCAAGGCCAGCCTGTACTGTTTCTCTTTAAGTAAAATTTTTAAAAAAACTAGAAATAGGGAGACCAGCTAGCTATTGTAATAGTCTAAATATGAGAGTACAAGAATAATAAGTAAAACTGAAGAAGCAGGAAAGAGCAAAAAAGGAATACTAGGAGTAAACGAATGAATGAGCAAACAAAGTGGGCCAGCAGACATGTAGGAAGAGCTCTCATGCATGATAACCTTATAGTTACTATCAAAAGGCTGCCAAAACCATAATCTTGCACAAAGTCCATTGGAAATTTACACACAAAATACTTCTGTGGGAACAACTGTCCAGAAACTTCCTGTTCAACCTCAAAGGGCTGGTGTCACCCTTGTTATTAATTTCTACGATCTAGGGTTAATGTCACAAAATGTGTTAGGTCCTCTTCTTCAACTGTGCCATTAAAAATTTCCTCTTGCCTCAATCCCCTTGAATACATTCAGTTTACTACAGCATTCTTTTTCCCAGTATTTAAATTTCTTGCTATAATCACAAACTGGCGGTAAAGATCTGAAAAATATTTTATGTGATTTACTCAACAGTTGAACTTTAGAGAACTCACTGACTTAAGTGACATAGCATTTCTGCTTCAGTGAGGTCCAAAGCAAAGTCAATCAGGAAAGCTGACTGTCTGATACTGAGTGACCAGTGTTTTACCCAAAATGCAGTCACTAATTTGTTTTAAGCTTCTTTGAGTTGGTTTCACTATTTCTTCTTTTAATAAGATAATCACCACCACTAACTTGGGGGAAGAAAGTGGCAGTTAGTTAGTAACTGTATTACAATTATCAATACCTAATATTCTTTTAAACAGAACTGAACTTTAATCCTTTATTTTTCTAAGTATTCTATATGAAAGCCTGTCTTAAGATCTGTGAAAACTTAGACTTTACCACTGTTCTTTAAAATGCAAAAACGATTGGGAAGGAGGGAGTTGAAAAGTTGTGGTTCTGCTTTTGAATCCCTCTGACAAGTACGGTAAGGCCTAAGCAAACCATTTCCCAAAATGTCCCTGCTCCACGGTTTTGTCTGCTGCCTCATCTCTCTAAATAATCTAAGAAAACCATAATTAAGCTGATGTTAACTCCTAAACTGTAGGTTCAATCTTCTCCAACTTTTAGCACATGACATTCCCCTGCGGGCATAAATATGCGAAGGCGTGGACTTGAATTTACAGATAGATACTGCCCCTAAAACGCCGGAAGAATAGTGAACACCGCAGTTTTGTGACAAAGGACCTATGTAGGGTTTCTACAGACAACTGCACTGAACGTTCACGTAAAAATAAATCAAACCCCTTATTATGCACACCCCTGAACCATTTCTACCCAAGCAATGAATTGCTAATTCGACACTCACCCGAACCCGGAAGAGTAGAAAAGAGTTCAGACAGGCGCGCGAGTGACGTCACACAAACGCCAGGGGTTGGGCTCCGCGCATGCGTACATGCTCATTAGTGGTTGCTGCTAGCGGAAGACAAATCGCGCCTTAGTTCCCAAGTCTAACAAGCAAAGAAACTAAGAGCTGTGACGAGCTACGTAGATGTGGCTGCAGCACTGCTCTGCTGGGATCACTTCCACTCAGAATTGAGGCGGCGCCCCCTGACCCCGCCTCTCGTCAATTTTCTGCTTTCTCTGCTGCGAGTTAAAAAACAGCACTGTTAAAACCTGGGCGGGATTCGAAATTCTGAGCCTTGATCTTAAACTTTTGGGGCTTCAGTTTCAGTTAAAAAAAACCCAGCCCCAAGATCTAAAGTTTCCTTCCCTCGGAACCAAGTACTCAAATGCAGTCTTCAAAGAAATATTTACAAGAATAATACTGTTTGATACTTTCGTAGTTTGGCCAGTAGCACAGTTCCACCAATGAGTTAAGCTATTTTCAGCCAAGTTTATATTATAAACTTAGTTTACAAAGCTGACTTTTATATAATCATTAAACCATATTGTTAAATGTGACTCTTCTGCTAATTTGTAATGTGTGTTCAATCATTTGATGTATTTGTAACCACCTCGGTGTGAAACTGTAATAAATTCGTGACAAATGCACTAATATTCGAGGATGATAGTATCAGCTTTAAGTACACATTTTTAGGAAGAAATAGGTATTTGTGAAATAACCTTTCCCAACAGGAGACATTCAATGTTTAGCCCACCTTCCCTGCTCTTCCCCACCTCTGTATTCTTAGGCTCTCTATAAGCCATGGGTGATAATGGATTCTGAGCTTAGGAACTAGCTGTGCATTTGAGCACAACTAGGATGTGAAGGCTTGGGCCATATTTTGCTGCTGCTGTGGACTCATCCAGTCAGGGTAAAAGTACTGAAATATGCAATACTATTTCAATAGTGAAGTACTATTCTTCCTCCCAGTGATACTGATCTCATAGACTTTGGAACCTGACCATTTTATCCTCACCTCCATTAACAGTAATATCTTCTCTCAACACGTTTTAAACTTTTCTTTATCCAATCTTCTCTAACAGCATTGTAATGCTTTCTTCTAAATAGACTAAGATTATTAGGAGAAGAATTTTTCACTATACTATCCATGAATCTTATGCAAATGTCTGAGGTTGTAGGTGCCAAATATTTGAATAAAAAATACTCATCACATACAACCTTCACCATCTTGTTCATCCCTGCTGCATCCTTTTTCACTGAAACTAGACAAAACACTGAGGGATTTTTTGTGACTAAGCCAAAAGTTTTAATCTCACCTTTTGGAAACCAGTTTAATTTTACTGCTACATGGTCCTAGTTTTCTCCTTTTTCTCTGTAATTTAATCTTTTAAAAATTTTGTTTTCTTCCTATAGCCTGTAAATATCTACAGTCTGTAGGGTGGGATGGAAATACATAACAAAAGTGTACACAACTGCTGTTTTAGTTTTCTTTTGATTATAATGTGGGTTCTGAGTTTCTCAAGGATGCAAACCCTTGCCATACATACAGATAACTTCCAGTACCTTACATTAGCAGTCAGTTCCAAAAAATGAAGAAAATTAAACAAGAATATACAGTGTAATTTCAGAAAATGGAGGCAAGGTATAGAATACATCAACTAGAAAATGTACCAAAGACTAACACACAATCTATTGTTTTCCTATACCTGACAAAGTAGCATAAAACAGCTATTCCAAGGAAAACAATGTCATGATCATTACAAGTTACAACTGTAGAGACACAATGAAACTATTTTGATATGAAATCTATCGTTTAAAGATATTCCATGATTTTAAAAGTTAAAACTGAACTTCTTACTAATAAATAATAACCAACAAAAGTGGAGTATATAATATTACTAGTTAATGCATAAATGCAAGAAATCAGTGTAGTTTTAAGTATAAATATAGAACAATTAATATATAAATTTCTAGTGCTTCTCGCTTAGCATTTTTAAATTGTTCTTTACTACTTTTTTAACGTTTGTTAAATGTCATTGCTTGGCAGCCCAACACTTCTAATTCATTTATTTGCATTAACTGTGAGGTGTCATTATCCTATTTTTATTTCGCTTTTGCATGTATCAAACACTATTGTCGTTATTTTGCATCCCTACATATATCACTGTTTACCTCTGAGATTTTTGAGAAATAATAGTCTACATTATTTGGCGTAATTTCCTTACATTTAATACCATTTCAATTTCATTGAACAACTAGAGTGATTTACAAAATCGTATTTCACTATGGCATCATGTTTTTACAGCTGAACCAGGATATAATTCACACATACATTTGTATCAAATTAAAATTTAAATTATAAATTTCAATGATAATACATGCAATCACTCAATGGATATGAAGAAGACAAAGATAAAACATAATATTGTAAATCATAAATTGAGAAAAATCAGATGGTATTTTCGTAACATTTTCAAAGTAACAAGCCATTTTTAAGTTATCTTCAATCTACTCATTTTTAAATTTTTTTCCTAAGAAATCCAAAATATTCCTATTTTAGTTAGAAATTAATTATTTTATATTATAATTTATTTTATAGTATAATTTTATAGTATACTTATTTATAGTATAATTTATTTATTATTTATTATGTAGCATAATTATAGTATATTAATAATAGGTATTTTATAGTACTATTTATATAAGTAAATTATAAAAACGTTCTTTGTCATGTTCAAAGACTAAGAAGTGTATGAGTTTGCAATAAGAAGTAAAATAAATATTTTTATCTATGCTTAATATTTTTAAAGTGTAAAAAACTCAAAATGCATTATGCAAAATTAACACATTCAACAAATGTTCAGAGAATATTGACTAAACATTTCAGATTGAGCAGAACCCGGAAGCAATAAATTGAGCGTACCAAACTTGGCCCTTATCTATTTGGAATTTGCAATAGAAACAGTTTTTTTTTTAAATTCAGACAAATAAAATTAAATTTATATTATAATTTTATGTACAAACAATAGTTTGTATTAATAGAAAACTATATAATGGTAGAAATTGGTATTTTTAATCCATTAATTTGCTTCTTGAAGAATCAAGAATTAATCAGAAGTGATAACAAATATTAGAGAAAAATTGATACTCTAAATTTCAGCCCTATAGTTTCAAGCATAAAAGTACTCTATTAATTAATGCTTTTTTTTTATCTTTTTCCTGTTAATATTCTCTAAACTCTGTTCTCATGTCAAGTTCCTCATCTCTTTTTCTATCTCTAAACTATTGACCAGCACAAATGCAACTATTATATTAGTAATAATTTTATGTGGTAATGCTCAGATATTAAATATGAGAACATAGGATGAGATGCTGGTTTGTTTGGCACACATTAAACCAACAGTCTGATGTAAAAATATAAATGAGTTAAATTCCAACCAAAAGTTTTAAATTATTAACTCTATTTACAGAATAATGTATTATAGAACTACCTAAAAGAAGCCAAATTATAAGCACTCTGAAAAAAAAAAAAGAGAGAGAGAGAGAGAGAGAGAGAGAGAAAAGCACTCTTGTTGAAAGGGGCTAAAATTTCAACCAAGTGAGTCTCTTTTATCATCCCTGGACTAAGGGAGTTGAACCATGTGACTTTGATGTAAGAGTTCACCTCAGGGAATTTGGATGCTCCTATGTTTGGTGCCAGGGCACCATCTCATCTAAATGTTTGGCTCTCAGATGGTATTCATTTAGACACTTAAACAGTTTTCTATTTTCTTTTTTTTTCTCTTTTCTTTCTCAGTGTTTTTTTCTGTGCCTTAATTTGGACTAGAAATAAATTATAAGTATTATCTCTGCATTATTGAGAACTGTCTAGCTGTGCTGTGTCACTTTCCTCAGATTTTCCAGAATTCATAAAATTTAAGACTGTGTAAATCACTATAACCACCTGTTCTCCTGAAAACTTAGTTTGGGCTCTCTTTTTTATCTTCTAATCTAAAGCATGAAATCTAATTTTTCTATATATATGTGCACCTCTTTCAAAGCACAGACAAAGGTCTTCAAGTCCTGCCAGTGAATTTAATGATCTGCCACTGAAAACCAGGCTGAGTTCAATGAGGACTGGGACTTCGTTGTTTCCCTAAGAATACATGAAAGGCTAAGGCTTATCTCAGTCCTGCAACAAGAATGGGTATTTTTTTCTTCCAGTTGCTTTTCTCTTAGCTCAGATAATTCTTACAAGAATTTATGTATCTGTCTTTTGGAGAGGAAAAAAAAATTTATCTGAAGTACAATTAGAGCTTCAATTTCACTTCAATTGTTTTCTCTTTTAATTAGTTCAAAAAAATTAGGTTAGCACTGTTATTTCAGAATATTCTTTGTATAATGATTCTTTTCTTTACATGTTAATTCCGTCCATCTATTCAGGTACATTCATCCTAATTTTATTTATTCATATAGTGTTGTCTAAAATGCTATTAATAAAATATTTATTCATATAGTGTTGTCTAAAATGCTATTAATAAAGTATTTAAAATGGTTATCGATGAGTACAGGACTAGTGACTAGTTGTTCTCTTTTTCAAAATTAAAAAGTTACTGTTTTCAGTATTTAACTAAAAATAACTAAGCCAAAATAATTGACTTTTCAGACTATATTTTTATGTGTTAATTACAGCTAAGATTATCTGATAACCATGTACACAATATTTTGTATGTTTATACAATTGATAAGTCAATTTTTTTTATCAGTACCAGGGATCCAACTCACAACCGCCTGCTTGCAAGGCAGGTGCTTCTTATGCCACTGAGCTAAATGCCCAGACCCAATAAGTCAATTTTTAAAGAGTTGCTCTATCTACACATGAAAATCTAACTTTACAACTGAACCAATATAATATTCATGATCATGTCCTACTTTGACAACAGGGGGAGCCAGAAGATGACTTTATCACTTGACTCACATGTCAGCTAATGTATTACCTGGACAGAGCCAGTGAAAATTTTCTCTTAGGAAGATGGAATAGGTATTTATTCACAATCCAGTGGTCTTGAATTTCAAGGTCTATCAGCAGCAAGTCATTTTCCACAAGTTCATGAAAAAGCAGAGAAAAACAAATTGTAAATAAAGATGAAATATAAAT